CCTATAATATTTCCAAAATATGTCAGAGATCGAAAGATACAAAGATTTGTTTTTCTTATTCTCTGTGGTGCTCTGCTTGAATTTTCCGCTGTAAGGGGAAGCGAACATAAAATGATAGCGAAGTGGAGTCAAAAAGGGTCGATGTTTGTGATTCATAGCATATCCGTTTTCTTTTTGTCCAATAGGCTTTGAAAAAATATTGTGCTACCGATTTCAAGGATTCTATGATTTGTGGAACATCCGATCCTGAGAATCATGGAGGCTGTGAGCGGCGCCTCTAACCACTGCTTCACCTTTGTCGTAATGTTAGGTACAACTGCATACTGCTTTTGCATTTTTCATGAAGTCTACTTTGCGATGTTTCCCAAAGAATTCGTTTACCCTACGAACTGCCATGATATTCAAAGTCATTCTTGCTTAAACAATCACTTATTCGTGCATCCTTTTTTGAATAAAGGTTTTGAGACGCTTGTTCGTATCCTGGTTGTATCTTGGTTGACGCAAGGTTTTGTCCTTCTTTATCAGAAAACTAATTTCTAATAGTATCTTTAAGGGCCTTTGGTTTAGTTCAGTTATATAGCCCTTTGATAAAATCTTCATTGAGTTGTTGCAGGAAATGGTTCGTAAGAAAAGGAATACCCTCATAGATATACCAGGTTTACCAAAACCATGGTCCGCCTATATGCATTTAGTCAAAAAGAGAATCTTCTATCACAATTCAAAGACAGGAGAATCGCTTTGGGAACTACCTGCTGATATACGGGAAAAGTGCTCCAATGGTACGTATCTCTTGCTTAATAATATAGAATGGAACGAACTGTTTACTGACCTAACTTTTTGGATGGGGTTTTATGGTATTCAGAATCAAGAGATGATCAAATGGATCGCTGAATTAGTGTCCATTTCCTGAATCATCCTTACACCCTTTCTGTGTTCTGAAGGTAGAGAGCTCATGAAATGCAGAAATCGATTATTCGTGGGATGTTTGTTTTATAATCTGTCTACGAAGATGTTACGGAAGGCCGGGGCTGGTTCGATTCGCAAGCCCTTTCTGTGTTCTGAAGGTAGAGAGCTCATGAAATGCAGAAATCGAATGCAGGGGAAACCGTTTATCTGGTGTCGGCCGCTCTTCAATCGCAAGCTTTGCCCATTGAAATGGGGATGTCGATTTCTGAGAGTTTAAAGTATAGGGTAATAAAAGTTGGCGCTTCGGCAGCTATTAAATAATCTTTAAGAGCTCAAATGGTTGACGACAGTGTTGTAATCACAAGTAATATGCACAATTTTTAAGCCGGTGGCGAGTTGGGAAACAAGTTCGATGAGTCGTTTTCTGCTCATGTCGACGCCGATGATGAGTGAGTATATCTTTTTATAATAGATCGGTACGTAGTGCGCAAAGGTCTACCAAAAAAAGCTGAAAAACAAATGTGCTCTGGAATCGAGTACTCTTTTTTAGAGGGTAGTAGTCAGCTGCAGCTAGGTGGAACGGGATAGGAATAAAGTGTCAAAATGTTTACCTACTGCAACCCCCCCCCCTTCGTTCAGTCTGCTTTCCTTAAAAAGCTGTTGTAGCCAGAATTATTCTTCTGAAGCCTATGAAGTGGAAATCTACCTCGTAGTCATTTTTCATCCTAAGCATGATCTTGTGTGAACTTGTAAAAAGCATTACCTCATAGAAGGCGAAGT